TTTCTGGGCAGCTTCTTTGGTGCACCACCTGGTGCGATCCTTGAGAATTTTCAGCCTCTCCTCGACTGGGATGTCGGTTCTGTTTTCACCTGCCTGATGACGGTGATGGGGATGGTGATGGGATGGTGATGGGGATGGGGATGGGGGATGGGGATGGGGATGGGGATGGGGATGGGGATGGGGATGGTGATGGTGATGGTGATGGTGATGACAATGGCGATGGCGATGGGGATGGGGATGGTGATGGTGATGGGGATGGTGATGGGGATGGTAATAGTGATGGTGAGTGGATGTTGCAAAGGAACAAATCCCAAGAGCGAAAGACAGTGACACTAAGCCTTGCACAGGAAAAATAAACACACACACATACACAAAGGAGGTGGAACCAAGATCGTGGAAACTCTCCCTCTCAAGAGGAGACAAAGGAGGGAACACGCCTCTCTAGCATCCGTATGGCTCTTGAGGCGCCCAAGAAGCGACATATGGGAGCATACCAGCCTGAAGGCAATGATCTCGGAGCGGTAATGCACTCCAATGAGCGGCTTGGACAGGCAGGCAACAATGCGCTTGGCAGCGAGATGCCACTCTCGGGCATTCGGCAGCAACACCACATGTGACACAACACCACATGTGATGAGACACAACACCTTTGTCTGTCTCCCTCTCGAGGACAGACAAGGGAGGACATGGGCTCCTCCTACTAATAGGGGTACGGCTTTTGAGAGCCTCAAAGGCGATGGATGGGAAGCATGCATACCAGCCTGAAGACGATGAACTCGGAGCAGTAGTGCACTCCTATGAACGGCTTGGGCAGACGGGCAACGATGCGCTTGGCAGCAAGGTGCAACTCTCGGGCATACGGCAGCAACACATGCGCCATGTAACGTCGACCGTCTCATCTTGCGTTGCGCTCAAGAAAAGACAAGCGAGGGAACAGCAGGCTTCTACTAGCAAGGGCACGGCTATGGAGACACCACAAAAGCGACAGATGGGGAGCGTACCAGGCGGAAGGCAATGAACTCGGAGCGGTAGTGCACTCCTATGAACGGCTTGGGCAGACGGGCCACGATACGCTTGACGGCTAGGTGCCACTCTTGGGCATACAGCAGCAACACATGCGCCATGTCATGTCGCCCGTCTAACGCTCAAAGCCTCAGCAGCAAAGAAGGGGCAGCATACCAGTCGGAAGGCGATGAACTCGGAGCGATAATGGACGCCGATGAAGGGTTTCGGAAGGCGGGCCACGATGCGCTTGGCAGCGAGGTGCCACTCTCGGGCGTACGGCAGCAACACATGCGCCATGTCGTCTGTTTCCCGATCGAAACGCTCATATGTGTTCTTGGCGTATATCACCACATCCCTGTGCTTCCTGCAAGGCGGAGGAGAGGGAAGGGGGGGGGGGGGAGGAAGGAGGAGCGAATGGAAGAAAGGGGAAAAGCGGGAAGGGAGGGCGATGGGGAGAGGGGAGACGAAAGAATAGGCCACTCGCGGTCATACGGCAGCACTGCATGCGCCTTTTGAGGCGCCTCAAAACCGCGAGACAGGAGATGACTTTTGAGGCGCCTCAAAACCGCGAGACAGGAGACGACTTTTGAGGCGCCTCAAAACCGCAAGACAGGAGACAACTTTTGAGGCGCCTCAAGAGACGAGAGACCAGGCCACTCGTGGGCAGACGGCAGCAGTGCATGCTCCTTGTCGCCCGTCTTGCAAACAGAACGCTTGTATGTGTTCTTGGCGTATACCACCACCACCACGTCCCTGTGCTTCCCGGAGAGGGGGGTAGAGTTTTGAGGCGCCTCAATGCTCGAATGTGTTCTTGGCGTATACCACCACCACGTCCCTGTGCTTCCTGGGGGGGGGGGAAGCGGGAAGGGAAAGGACGGGATTTGTGGTAGGAGAGATGCAGCACCATTTGTCGTGTGCTCGAAACGCTCGTATGTGTTCTTGGCGTATACCACCACACCACGTCCCTGTGCTTCCCCAGTGGGTGCTTCCCCAGTGGGATGAATGTAGATGAGAGCTTGGATTGTGGTTGGTAGGTGTGTGAAAGGATGGTGTGCGCCATGTCGCCTGCCCCGCGCACTACCCTCCATGTATGTGCTCTTGGGGTATATCACCACCACGTCCCAGTGCTTCCTGGGGGGAGGAGGCCGGTAGGGAAATGAGAAAATGGGATTGTGGTTGGTGGTGATATGCTCGGATGTGTTCTTGGCGTATATCATCACATCCCTGTGCTTCCTGCAAGGCGGAGGAGAGGGAAGGGGGGAGGAAGGAGGAGCGGGGGCAAACAAAACGCTCGGATGTATTCTTGGCGTATTTCATCACATCCCTGTGCTTGCTGCAGAGGGGGGTAGAGAAGAAGCAAGAGAAGAGAACAACTCATGGCAGACGTGCGTGGGAGGACAGGTGTGCGTGGGAGGACAGGCAGGTGTGTGTATGAGACATTGACTGTCTCCCGCTTAAGCAGTCATGTGTAAATCTATCACTACATCTCTGTGCTTTCTGCTTTCTGCAGAGGGGGATGGAGAAGAACTCTCCTGCTCACGCAGTCACATGTTATCTTTTTGGGGTATTTGGTGATAAGAGATGAGTATTCCACTCCATCTCACCATGCCCCACTCCGGCCGGCTCACCATGCCCCACTCCGGCTCACCCTTTCCCACTACCATCTTACCGAGCGTTGAGTAGGGACTGGATCTGGTCGAAGCGGGCAGGCATGTGCAGCCAGATGGTGTTGCCCCCCGTGGGTCCATGCCCCATGCCACATGCCCCATGCCACATGCTCCATGCCACATGCCCCATGCCACATGCCCCATGCCCCATGCCGCATGCCGCATGCCCCATGCCCCATGCCCCATGCCAAGACACGAACATTGCGCTTCCCCCCAGCAACTCACCAAGCGTTGAGCAGGGACTGGATCTGGTCGAAGCGGGCAGGCATGTGCAGCCAGATGGTGTTGCCCCCCGTGAGTACATGCCCCATGCCACATGCCCCATGCCACATGCCCCATGCCACATGCCCCATGCCACATGCCCCATGCCACATGCCCCATGCCACATGCCCCATGCCACATGCCCCATGCCACATGCCCCATGCCCCATGCCGCATGCCGCATGCCCCATGCCCCATGCCAAGACACGAGCATTGCGCTTCCCCCAGCAACTCACCAAGCGTTGAGCAGGGACTGGATCTGGTCGAAGCGGGCAGGCATGTGTAGCCAGATGGTGTTGCCCCCGTGGGTACGTGCCCCATGGCCAGCGTGAACACTGCCCCCAGACTCCCTGCAATTTCCGCTGCTCACGGGGGGTTGGGGAGCATTTGTGGGGAGGATAGATTGGGGTAGTAGGATTGGGTTAGCAGCAGGTGTTGCCCCCGGTGGGCGCGTGCCCCATGGCCAGTGTGAACACTGCCCCCAGACTCCCTGCAATTTCCACTGCTCACGGGGCAAGGTTAGGAGCAGCGGAGATCGCAGGGAGGACAGGGGGCGGTATACAGATATAAACGAATGCAAGTTCTGTAAATGTACTGTCTGTCTGTCACGTGACTGACAGCACAACAACGGAACGTAATGTATTAGTGCATTCATGGAATTGCCCTCTGAGAATTATGACTGATCTGAACAACAAACAGAACGTAATGAAGTAGTGCATTCATGGTATTGCTCTCACTATCAAGCACAGAATTGTTAACACACACACATACGCGCGCGCACGCGCGCGTACACACACACACACACACACACACACACACACACACACACACACACACACACACACACATACACACACACACACACAAAGGTAGAAGGCAGCTCTTGAAACGCTCGCATCCGTACTAATCTCCCCCCCCTCTCTCCCTACCACGAATTTGAAGAAGGGTTTTGAGACGTCTCAAAACCCTTCGTCAAACACGCTCGCATCCGTACTAATCTCCCCCCCTCTCTCCCTACCACGAATGCTCACTTGTGCCAAAGAAGGGCCGGCCAAGCTCGGGAGTGTCAACACAGTGGTATCCCATAGAGCCCGTGAACGGACTAGAATAAAGCAATCGTCAGGGCCTTGACTCACTTGTGCCGAAGCAGGGTCTGCCGAGCTCAGGTGTGTCAACACAGAGGTAGCTGACGGTGGGGTGGGAGAAGGCAGGCCTTGACACGACTACAATTGTGCTCTCTTCCTGGCCTTGACTCACTTGTGCCGAAGCAGGGTCTGCCGAGCTCGGGAGTGTCAACGCAGAGGTAGCTGACAGTGGGTTTGACGAAGGCAGCCCGGGCGAGGAGAAGGAAGAACTCGGGGGAGACCCACTCGGTGGCGTTGAGATAAGCCAAGTCGCAGTAGGCACACATGGGCATGGATCGACCCAGCGACAGATGGCTGTGGGACCCCTGAGAAGGAGCGGGTGGGTAGGGTACGGAGGGAGGCAGGGAGGGAGTGAGGGAGTGAGGAAGGGAGTGAGGGAGGGAGGGGTTGCAACGGCTGCAAGTCGCAGTAGGCACACATGGGCATGGATCGACCCAGTGACAGATGGCTGTGGGGCCAATTCACGAGAGTATGACAAGCGTTTAGATCACTGAGGTACCTTGGGCAGCACGAGGATGCGGTTGGTCTCTCTGGCCACCCGTGCGGCCTCAATGACATGGATCTTGGCGTTGGTGAGCTGCTCCTCCACCGCTGCAAACACCAGATACCTGCGATTGGCAAAGTCCTGCATCGAAACACACACACACACACACACACACACACACACACACGCACACACGCACACACGCACACACACACACACACACACATACACACACACACGCACGCATGCAAACACACACACACATACACACACACACACACACACACACACACACACACACACACACGCACACACACAATAACATAAACAGAAACAAAGAGGAAGAGGGGAAGGAATGAGGGGGTTTGTAGGTTGCTAGGGATGAGATGAGAGTGGGTTGTCAAGAGATGCATGACATGCATTCACAGCAAGGAAACGGAGGAAGAAGCGTGGGGGAGGGAGGGAGGGAGGGAGGGAGGGAGGGAGAGAGGGTAGCTTTTGTAGACATTGCTCAAGGAAGTGAATGAAATGCACTCACAGAGAGATGGGAAAACGGCATGCCAGGCACAGGCCAGCATGCCTCAGGCCAGTGGTTGCAGGGACTGTCTGGGTCACTCGGACTGCTGCCGCTGCTATTGCTATCGTTCCCACTGCTGCCGCCGCTGCTGTTGCCGCTACCGCTGCTGCTGCTTCCAGCGTAGCTCTTCCCCATCAGCCGTTCAACGTCCTCCACCTTATCGCAAATCGAGTCCACGCCAGCTGAAATACTCTCCAAAGAAACCCGCTCTTTCTTAAACGCGCGGGTGAGGAAGTGGCTGCCAGGCACGCGGTCCAAAAGGCCCTGCTTCCACGCTCGGCTGCACACCACACCCACGTCCCCCTGCTGCTGCTGCTCCTCCACCTCGTCGCGGCTCAACGGTCGCTTCTGCTGGATTGCAAGTGGGTTCAGTGAACCTGAACCTTTACCTGAATCTGAACCTGAACCTGAAGAACCTGAACCTGAATCTGAACCTGAATCTAAACCTGAACCTGAATCCAAACCTGAACCTGAACTAGGACCCGAAGCGGGTTCTTGAGCTGCGGTAAGTGCTCGCTGCGATGCCTGATGAGCTAGGTTCTGCATGTCTTGGCATAAGGTTACGCTGCACTCCGTGAGCTGAATCGGCGTGAACTTCGTTTTCGCGCCAGGGAGCCTGGCTGCTGATTTCAGGACCTTAATGCATGATTCTGATATATTGAAAGCTGCACCTAAGGAAGTCCGGTTGACGTTTGCTACCGTCGGATCGTCGCCACTCGCCGTCAGTAACCGGCGGAGATTCGCTCCTGGAAACCCGCTGAAGATCCCACCGTAGATTAAGCAGCAGACGAAGATTCCGAGCAGGATGATCGGGAGTAAAACGGATCGGATTGATGAACGCTGAACGGCCATGGATTGTGATCCAGCCAGCCACGGTCGCCGTCGGAAGAATTTGCTAGGGGACTCTCCGAGCGCGGACGGCGGGCGAAAGAAGGCGTCTCGCTGATCTGAGAAGCTGATTTCGTCCAGGTCGGACGGGTCCGACGGGTGCGACGGGTGCGACGAACGATTGTACGTCGTCGGCTTTTGAGTCGACGCAAAAGCTGGCGGACTTGAGAAGCTGATTTCGTCCACGTCCGATGGGTGCGATGGCCGATTGTACGTTGTCGACATAGTCCGCAGCTAAGACGCGATCACATGGGTACGACGGTCGAAATGCAACGATTGAACTTTCGCCACGAGACAACGCTTTCCGACGTGGCAGTAGCTATTCCGTACAAAAAGCTAGTTTCTGATGCCGGCTAAAGTTTAGTATTGTCGTCGTGTTAAACTCCTGCTGGAAAAAAACAAATATTGTCATCGTGTTAAACTCCCGCTAAAAAAGGCTTTTCAAGGCATCTTGTGTCTACGTTTCACACCATGCGTGAGTCAAGTTTATCTGCTCAACGAAATTGCTCTTGGTGATCCCTAAATCCACTTGACAGTATAGACTTCTGTAGTACAATGCCTTGCTAGCCGCATCCTATCCGACTATAAGTCTACGGGGTCGAGACGTCTTCAACGCGAAGTAGTCGACTGAAGTAAGCATCAACTTTCTGCAAGGCGCGCGACCGGACACAAAACGAATCGGTACCTCATCTGTCATCCCGTTCCTGTGTCAGCAACCTGAGTGAGAACTGGATCATCTGTCAGCCATTACTAAACGTTCTGGAAGAAATCCAGTGTCCAGCGCAATCCTGTCGGGGAGGGCTGGACAGAGTCAAAGGTAAGTAATGCGATACTGCACATTTTAAAACGGTACAGCGCGATTGATTATATACTACTGTATGTTCCCACATCTGTGTGATAAGTTGAGTTCAGTACACTAGAACTGTAGTCGCGAGTCGTTGAAAGGCTTGCGAACTGACAATTTACGACAATTCACGACACGAGGGTGTAGTTGATCTGTGTAAGGAAAATCATTTTTCCTTACTTCGCATCCCTGCTCAACCCGTACATCACTATAGCACCACAGTCAGCACCGTTACCACTCGCGACCCTCGCATCGACAATCAGCCCGCCATTTTCGCACATCGCACCCCAACCTCACGGCTCGGCTGGTAACCCGCGCTCCGGGCCTCCGCTTCGACACTTTCCCAAACCTCAGTCCCAGGCCCGTCACGCTACAACCACAGTCCATTACCGTTACCACAGTAGTTTCGCTATATATTCTTCGCTCATGCCTTCGCTCATTGTATTTTTGCTTCGATAGTGCAATTCTCGTTCACTTACTCAATTGCACTCGTAACACTTGGTATTCAGAGCCTACGATCTCCTCTCGGACCGCACCCACATTTTCGCTTCCCCACTATCTCAATTTTTTGGGGGGGGGGGGGGGTAGACGTCTCTCAGCGATATAGCACCGCCGCTCGTAGTGCTCTCTCGTAAGCACGCACGGCCACGACCGAGGCTCTCGCTGAGCTCGCCCGACACCCCGCCATGGCCGATTTCACGCTCGCCACATTGACGCAGGGAGCAGCTTGATCGTCTCGTGCGCCAACTTGAAGACTCGGCACTCGAAAATCGCGATGCTCACGGCGGAACGTGACTCCGCCCGTCAACAATCCACGGTGAACATTCCAGCGACATCACACGCACTGCCAAATGCATCTGCACAATCGGACGAGCCGATCATCATTTCGTCCGGCCACACCAACGCAACACGAGAGCATGGGACAACGCCTCAGGCGCAGCCAGTGATGGCGTCGCCCAAGCCGATGCCTGGCATGGGAGGAAGCGGGGTCGTACCAAGCCCGCGGGAGCCCCGTGAAACCCGTCGGCACGTGGGAATTCGCGGCGGACAAGTGGCGAACAGGCCATTATGGCACCAATGCCGCTCAAGCCACAACGCCCGCCTGCTTCGACCCAAGCCAACGTGGAGGTCCGACGGTTCAATCGTGGGTCTTCACGATGAACGTCTTCTTCGATGCGAACTACGTCAAGTCGGACGCCCGCTGAAGATTCGGTATGCAGTTCGCTGCTAAGGGGCCCCGCCTATGGACTGGTGGCGAGTCATCGTGACGTCACCATGCGCCTACGAGCCACCGTCGCACAAGGAAGGGCCCACGGGTCCAGCTATCACCTGGAGTGTCGTTCTGCCGAGACCGCCCAATACAGCACGTGGGATGCGTGGGTGCGCAGGGCTTCGGGCGCGCTTCGAGCCGATTGCGGCTTCCATTGTCGGCGCGTCAGAGACTGCGCACTTTGGCGGCAGCTCGGGTCGGTTCAAGATTATACGAGCGGTTTTCTCGCACTTTGCGAGCAGGTCGGCTACATGCACGAAGCGGAGCGGGTGGACCGTTACGTCGGAGGGCTGAAACCGGATATCTCGCACGTAAATCATGCTGCGCGGACTCTCCAACTTCAACGAGATTCTCCGCGCTCGCCGAGAAAATTGACATTCTACGCCGACCGACGACCGGGGCCACCTACTACGGACATCGCCTTCGTGGGACCGACCGAGCACGCCCACTGTACACGCCGTTGCAACGAATGCAGCTGCCGCACCGTTTAAGGGGCGCTGCTTTGCTTGCAACAGGCCGGGCCATCGCAAGAGCGAATGCCCAGAGGAGCTGAGGCGCCGGGGAGCAGAGCAGGGGAGGGAGTCTCAGAGGCAGGGAAACGCCAGCAGTCAGTAGAAGTTGGGCCAAACTACTGACGAGACTGCCTGCTCGCCCAACCGCACCGACCCTCACCGAGTCACAGTACTGATTCACGCCACTCGATCGGGCCTCGGATGAATAAGGAGGGTACAGCGACGGATTGCCCAGTACTGATACACGGGAAAATACAGGGAGCAGCAGTGAAGATTTTTATTGATGGAGGAACGAGTCACAGTTTAGTTAATACCGCAAACCGCACGAAAACTACAGTTAACACTTAACCGTTGCCTACCTGAGATAGACGCACGCTTAGTCGACGGCACGCCACTGGCCATACGGGAAAAAGGTGGCTGAGCGAGGTAAAAGTCCGCTGCGGAGGGAACTTCGGGTTACACAGGAAATGCTCGCAACGACACTGGATGGGCACGATATTTTATTGGGGCCGTGATTGGACTGCGACGGTATAACCCCGCGAATTGACTAGACGACGGGTAGCTTGCACCGTGCGAAGTAGTGGTAACTGGGTCGAACTACCTCGCTGGCGATCACCCGAGTCTTCAACGGTCCACGTTCAACGCCATTCACGATGAAACGGGTTGTCGCCTGCTGGAGCTGACGTGTACGCAGTGGATATAGCATTAGTGGAAGAAGAGGAGCAGCCGAGCGATTTTCAAAAACTGTTGGCAGCAAGTACCGCCCGAACTTCAGGAACTGTTGAAACGGTACCCGGAAGATTTTTCCAGACGACTTACCACAAGGGCTGCCACCTCAGCGGGCGCATGACCATAGGATCGAGGTTAGAACCGGGGCACCGCCAACCGTACAAGCGCCAGTTCAGGCTGACACAGCCCGAGCGCGACGAACTGAGGAAGCAGTTAGATTATTTGTTAGAGAAGCAGTTTATCCGACCGAGCTCGTCACCGTTCGCCGCACCGATCCTGTTCACACCAAAAAAAGACGGAGGGTTTCGCATGTGCATCGATTACCGAGCGCTTAACAGGGTAACAGTCAAATCGCGGTACCCCATTCCCCGCGCCGACAAACTGATCGACCAACTGCGAACAGCACGGGTATTTTAGAAAATAGACTTACGGGGGGGGTTACCATCAGATTAGGGTCGAACCGTCGGACTGCGCCAAGACAGCATTTAGGACTAGGTACGGGTCGTTCGAGTACACGGTAATGCCTTTGGGCTGACCAACGCGCCCGCAACATTTCAGATGACCATGAACGAGGCGTTTTAGGCCACTCTTAGATAAATGCGTGATAGTCTACCTCGACGACATCCTCGTTTACAGTCGCGACAAGCAGCAGCACTTAGTAGATCTCGAAGCAGTGTTTAAAATTTTAGAGGAACATCGGCTACTCACCAAAGGGTCTAAGTGCGAGTTTTTTCGGACA